AGATCTTTCGTAATCATATATATATATATATATATAGCAGAAAAAAAGAAAAAAAAATTATGTTTATACATTATATTTATAATAACAGAAATATACTTCTCTTAAGTTTTATTATGATTAACTTTTTATTAGATTATTCACACATTTTTATTTAAAAATGAAACAAATGCCAGACAATCTAATAACAATTAAATTAAATTATCATTTTGTCAAAAGATTGGATAATTATGTGATCAAATTTGTATTTGGGACAGCGGCAGCGGTGCGATGCCGCACCACACTTTGAACTAAATATCTTTTTACAACTTCATACTTTTTTTTTCAAACAGCTGCTGCTATTGCCCCCTGTCAACAAACAGATCGTCAACCTTAGCCAACGATATATTGTATATTGCCAAACTACAAACAAAAACTTCAATGCATTATTTAATTATTACTTATTTTTGCTATTATAACTTGGCCTATAATAAAGACAAAAAAGGTGAATAGTCAAACATGTTGAAGGTAAATATGCAATAGTTGGGATGAATAATTGTTCTTTTGGATTTTTATACTTTACACCTTTAAAATTTATAAATGATTATGAATGCATAAACCAAAAGAGATTTTAAAATGTTTATGAAGAGTGGGTGATGTGAGTTAACAAACACAATGACAAAGAAAAACAATCATAAATGTAAGTAGAATTCAAAAAATAAGGATATAATTGATTCGTTTCTAGTTTGTCACTCATCTAACATATATCCATCTGAAAATCTCATCACCTCTCCCATTCACCTTCTAATGCATATTCTTAGAAGTATCTCTACTTCATGTCTTTATAGTGGACTCCACCGCAAGATTTTTCAATTTACTACTTTCCTTAATAGAAAATAATGAATCACATAATTGATAATTAAAAACCTATTAGGATTAGAGATCAAGGATCGACTTTGTTGTCGGCTATTATGGTGATTACCAAGTCATCCATCTTATTGTTTGCTCCATAACTGTCTTCATGCTTAGATCTCATCAACTCAATCTTGATTAGGTCGATTTGTGCTGTATTTGTTAGGATATACAAGCTTTAAGAGTACTTTAAATTGTCTAACATTTTAAGTCTTTCTATGTATTTCTGTTGTTCGTGTCCTTAAGTTATCTAGACTAATATACCTAAAATGAGCTCAACCATATTAATTTAAGTTGCTTTCACTCCACAATAAGTATCCAAACAAGAACTCAAACTCAAGTTGTCTTCTTTTATCTTGAACTTAATTTATTAAATTAGATGGATTAAATTGAATTGACTTCCAATTATTTCATTAGCTCTCATGTGAATTATAGGAAATCAAAAAAAAGGGGTGTACAATGAATGAGACATAGAGGAGAATCTATTATAAAATTTCTTAAATAAGCTGGTGAGGTTCAAATTTGCATTTCATTAGCTCTCATGTGAATTATAGGAAATCAAGAAAAGGGGTGGACAATGAATGAGAAATAGAGGAGAATCTATTATAAAATTTCCTAAATAAGCTGGTGAGGTTCAAATTTGTTTATATTTGATTTATTAGCTCATCTTATTCAACATACTACTTAATTACACTATTATTTATAAATTGTTGATCTGAGGTGCGTTACTTTGTTCTGTTTAAGGCTTCGTTTGAAGAAGTTTCCTCATTCGGTGAAGGTCGCTTTGTTTTATTCAATCTCAAATGATTAAAATTTAAGATTTTTGCGATATAATATTCAAAGACGTTTCAAAAATGTTCTATTGACAAACATAAATTTTTCCAGACCAGAGTATTGTGTGCAATCGAAGTGAAGTCCACCGGATTCCTAAAATTCACTTGTGGGCTCAATTTTTATTTTAGTAGATTCAATCATCAATCCCCTCAAAATCGATAATTTTGCAGTCTAAAGTTTCTTTTTTTATTTCGTTAAGAATAGATTATATGTTCAGATCTTTCGTAATCGAACCTTTTTCTGCGCAGATCAAAACGGATAAATCAATCCCCCTTTACATCCGCCTGGCCACACGAAAGGCGGAGCTCACCTCCCTCTTTACCTGCGAGCTGTTACGTCTAACCAAGACTCAGCTCCGGTCAACTCGCTCACTGAGTTACCGGCGATTTTCCTCAGCGGCTCGCCGGAGAAGGAATCTATATCTCTTTTTTCTGTGGCCCCCTTAGATTCCTGGTGTCGCCACTCGCCGGTCAGTAGCTTTTACTTTCTCCCTCTGTGCTCCTCTGTGTTATCTGCTCCGCTCTCCTTCTGGCGCAATGCAGCTTTGATCAGTGAGCTATGGAGTTATATTCTGTATGTTTGTGATCAAAATTTGTTCGTTTTTTGGGAACCGAGCTCACGGTCTTACTTTAGCTCCATTGATTTTGTTTGGGTCCGTGAAATTTCTTCTTTTCTTTTCCTTATTAGATCTGCTGGCTGATTTTTGCTGTTTAGACGAAGAACCAATGAAATTTTGACCACTAATTGATGTGATTTCTTTTCTGAATTGTCTCTGTTAGTATTTCAGATATCGGCTTGTTTTAGGTTTTCTTAGTCTGCAAGATTTACCGTAATTGGTCAAGTTTCTACTTTTTTCCTGCGTTCCTTTCGGTTTCCCTTCTTTCAATCTTTTGCTTGTTTTGCTTTTCTTTATTTGGAAGGGGGCCTTGACGCTAGTTCTTCGCCGTTTTCTTCGGTTTTCGTGCTAATACTGTAGCATAGCTTTCTCTTGGCTTTGATTACTAATCTGCACTCATTTGAGAGGGGAAATAGATAAAAGTACTCTTCATTAATGAAAGAAAACCTTTCCAACTATAGTTTTACAGATCTTATATTGTCAGATCTTATGTAAATTAAAATTATTCTTCTAGTCATGAAGGTTGTTTACTTTGCATTTCTATCCTTCAGCATCCAAAAAAAATTAGTCTTTTAACAGCAGCACTGTGATTTATCTAAAGATTTGTTTTTATCTTTAGTCTTGCAGATTGAAGTATGGGTAGCCCTCTAATGTGGACAGATGAAGCTGCTTCCTAATTAGAACTGGTAGGAGAATCTAACAAGCTCTTGCTTTGCTGATATGATTTAATGATCTGGTTTCAAGTAGCAAACTTTTTTTTTTCTTACTTATTTTTGTTTGATAATTCATTGTGTCTTTCATTTGATCTATTTCTCTCCTTGTTTTCTCGGCTTTGTTCCTTCAGATTTCATGATGAGTGGGTTACAGAACAAGATAACTCAGAAGCCCCTTTCTTCAGTGTAAGGGAAGGATGATGAACCTGTTTGACTTGAGCGCCGGCATGGCTGGAACCAAGAAAGCTTTTCGAGATGGTAATCCTCAATCCCTTCTGGTTATTTAGTACATTATTCCTTAGATTTTCGAGATTTTCAACTCTGCAAACTTCACATATTGTGTGGTTTTTGCAAAACTGTAAGGTTTGGTCTGTGAAGCAAGCTTTATTTTAACAAGTTCATTTTTTTCAGATTATTACAATCATGACATTTTTCAATCAATTTTCACAAAGTTTTAAAGCAAATTGTTGCATATACAACAACAAGAACAAAACCTTTATCCCACTAAGTGGGACCGGCTACATGAATCATTTTTCTTCATTGAATCTAATTTCATTAATATTAGTAATGCGGGATGGATCCCACAAATCAATATGTATTAAGGAGTAAGATATTGTGACTTTTGAGTGGCTTAAATGATAGGATGCTTTATGGTGTTTAGCCATTTGAGATGCTTTACACGAGAGCTCAAAGACTTCTATTTTGCTGAATGATACATTAAGGATGGATGTTTCATTTGAATGTGATAGAGATAAATTATCACCCTTTTTGTATTCACTATTTTTGGATAGATAAGTTTGAGAGGTGTGATTATTATCACTCATATCTTGATAGTAGAGTTCTTCTTCTTCCATAGCATTTCCAATCATCTCTTCTTTGTTTTTATCCTGAAAAACAATGATTGAAAAAAGTGCAGCTTAAGTCAGAATTTAGTTCTTGAATGTATAATATGTTATAACAACGACAACAATAATAACAAGCATTTAACCTACTATGTGGGGTCAGCTACATGAATCCTTTTTCTCCATTGTATCCTATTCAGTGTCATATTTTCATTTAATTCTAATAAATTAAGATCATTTTCTTATACAATCTGCCCAAGACTTTATGGTAAAATCAAATTCTTTTGAATTGCACCTAAAATCAAATTCAGATGGTCAACGTTTAATGTGACTAAACCTATCTAAGACGGCTCTCTAATTTTGTCCGTCACTGGAGCTACACCAACCCTATGACAGATAAATTGTTGCATATATGAGAACAAAAAAAAAAAAAAATGATATACATTCAGTAGTAGCAGAAAAAAAACTCCTCTCAAGAAGAGAATAAGAGAATGTGTGGGGAGCTAACTGCAATAATCTCTTCTTTTTTATTTCTAACAATTTATGTCATGTTTGGATTTTCTTTTATTTTTTCCTTTTCTTAAGTCCCTTGGGAAAACATGTTTGGAACCAAAATATTAGAATGACTTTAGTTATTGGATTTGCTTTTAGATTAGTGCAGTATATGACAAATCAATTAAAGCCTTTAGTTTTCACACATCTCAAAGCAAATTTAATGGCTAGAAGATTCATCATGATTAATTTTGGTCATTAGGATTTATTAGTGTTTAATTATGGTACCTAGGTCTAGATTAATCAATCAATTACTCAATTGATTAAAATAGTTTGTTAATAGATATATATTTCAACTAATCAGAAATTAACTTAATTTCAAGTAAGACTGCTAATTTTATTTTTTTGGGCCATTTACATACATGTCACCCAATTTTTATGTATCTACATATCAAACACCTCCTAAACTTTACTTTTTATATTTATGCCCCTAAATCTTTCATATCACATAAAATTCCCATTATTTTAATTTTTAAAAGATGCAATGCACCTCTTCATATATACGTAAGGCGATATAAATGTGAAAATTGAAATTTAGGTTTTAGATATGTAAATTACATAGTAATTTATTGGTATATATGTAAATTTTTCTATTTGTTAATGACAATGAATAGGTTTGAGTTAAAATGTAAAATGTTAGTGTTGTCATGCTTTTACTTTTTATATGCTTGTTGTGGATTCTTTTGCTTGTGTATGTTATAAAACCTTTGTGATTAAAACTACTTTCAGGTTCTATTGGAGGTAGAAATCGACCAGTCGGCCCAAACAAAGCAATAGATCCTGTTGAACTTCACTCGGATGATAAATCAGTAAGGACTTACTTTACTCAAGTTTATTTTTCAATCCATTAATAAACTTTTAAAAGAAATATTTCTTATATTTTGTCATAATATAGCTCATTTGTGAGTCGAGGAAAGGTTCTTCTGTAAAAAGATCAAATACAATCCCGATGAAAATGCTTATCGCTCAGGAGATGTGTAAAGATACAGATGCAAAACGGAAACCGCCAAATGTGATTGCGAGATTAATGGGCCTCGATGATGCCCTGCCCGGTGCTCCATCTGTTGCATCTTCTAAACGAAATTTGCTTGATGGTGAGGATTGTAAGCAACGACAAGTTGGATATCTTGATAGATCAAAGTCTAAAGAGCTTCAATCTTGTTGCAACGAGAACAAGGATTTTCGAGATGTGTATGAAGTAAGGCGGCAATCATCAAGATCCAATTTTTTAGATGATGGAGCGCTGCAAAATGGTTTTTATGAGAGTCGAAATGATAAAAGAATGGCCTTTGTTCGTGAGAAGTTCATCGAAGCGAAACGACTAGCGACGGATGAGAAGCTTTTGGAGTCTAAAGAGTTCCATGATGCTCTTGAGGTGTTGAGTTCGAATCGAGATTTGTTTCTAAAGTTTTTGGATGAGCCTAACTCGCTTTTTCTGAGTGGTTCGGAGGAACATCATTTCATTCCATCGCCGCCTCAGACAAAGCGAATTACCGTGTTGAGACCGTCAAAAACAAATGAGACGAAATTTAAGGTAAAGAATCAATATGATAGTGGTTCCGAGCTGCGGAATACAATATGGAATTCGGGTTTTGCTCATCATCCAATGACTGAAAAGTTGCCTGAGCCAACAAGGATTGTGGTCTTGAAGCCGAGCCCACGAAAACATTTAGACTTGAAGTCCCCCGTTACTCCTTTCTCATCATCGCCGGAACGGCCGAGGAAAGGAGATGGTCATGGAGGTCAAAAACCCCGTGATCCAGATGGGCGAAATATGGCCGAAAGCCTAAGTAGGCATCGAAGGGATGAATCTCTGTTGTCTTCTGTGTTCTCGAATGGATATGTTGGTGATGATAGCTCTTTTAATAGGTCAGAAAATTATGTAGGAGAGGACTATGACAATAGTGATTCAGAAATTGGAAGCTATTGGGATTTCATGAGTAATAGATATGGAAGTCCGTACTCGCATTCACCGTTAAATCGAGCTTCCCGTTCGCCTGAATCATCGTCAGTTGTAAGAGAGGCGAAGAAACGGTTGTCGGAGCGGTGGGCTTTGGTTACATCGAATGTGCTGAATCAGGAAAAGCTTCAAGGAAGGAGGAGCTCCGGCACCTTGGGAGAGATGCTCTCCATCAATGAGCTAAAAATGGAAAATAGGAATGATAATTTGGGGTTTAGGGTAGAGGAATTTAGAATGATTAGAAGGACAAAAGAAGAAAATGGAAATGAGGGATCCAGTGGTTGTAGTCTTTCGAGATCAAAATCTGTTCCTGCATCGTCGCCAACTTATGGAAGCATTCGATTGAACACCGATGATTCTGACTCACGAACTGATAAATCTGTGGCGACGAAATCACAGAGCGGGAAAACATCTTTCAAGGGACGAGTAACGAGCTTGTTCTTCTCGAAGAGCAAAAGAAGTGGGAGAGATGATTCCTTTTCATCTCAATTAGAAAACAGTGCTGACACTGTTGATAATATCAATGGTAATTCATCTCAAGCAATTCAGCCTAATGTCCCTGAAATAAGCCTGTCAGGAAAATTCGAGGCCGAGTCAGGCCAAATATCTCCTCCAGTTGTACCGAGTGATGACTCAGATACTAGCAAAAGCTCCTTGAAGGTATGTTTTTCATGCATTATCACATAAAATTCTCCTTTCGCAAGTTTTTGAATATCGAATACAAGCTTCGCTCACATTCGTGCAGGCCAGTCTATCTCATGAAGAGCCCGGACTTTCATCTTCGAGCGAAAACCACGACACGCTACAAATGCCCGAGAAAAACACTGACAACGAGAAAAACAGTGAGAACCAGAATCATCCCAGTCCTACTTCCATACTCGATGCACCATTTAAAGATGAATCAAACGAAAATGCCCCACATTCTTCCAAATTCGCTCCTTCCGATAACCCGCGTAAGCTATATACATTCACAACTTAGTTCAAATCCTATGATTCTCGAAAACTCAACAACCTCCTCCTCTTGCAGAAGCATTATCGAGGTCACCGCCGATCGAATCGATTGCCCGCACCTTCTCATGGGATGATCACTGCTCAAGAGCACCATTACCAGCTTCATTAAAGCTCTCCAGAGCTATCTGCAGCAAGGAAGATGAAGATGATCCAAAAGATCTGATAGTAGTGCAGAACTTGCTGACAGCTTCTGGCTTATATAAGAATAAGCTAAGCACCATCTTCAATGGCTGGCATTCGCCGGACATCCCTCTGGATCCCAACTTACTGGATGAACTCTCAGATTTGAAAGAGGGAGGAGTCAGGAATAGAGAGAGGAGATCAAACCAGAAGCTTATCTTCGACTGTCTCAATCTGGTTCTACAAGAACTCGGCCATTCTGTCGAACAAGGAGCTTATCAAAGCACTGCCATTGTTGCAGAAGATGAAGGTCTGCTTGCAGCGCAAGTGTGGCCCGTAGTGAAGAGTAAGCTTTCGGGCGAGGGGAAGCGGAGCGCTGGAGAGGCTGAAAATGGCGGCTTGGTGGTCGAGAGACTGCTCGGAAGGGAGCTAACGTGCAGCGGTGGATGGACGGAATTGATGCAGTCTGAGCTTGCAGCCATCAGCAGAGAAATTGGTGAGGAAGTGTTGGAGGAGCTCGTTGGAGAGGTTTTGGTAGGGATGATGATGACTCTTAGTTAAATTTGCTTTTTTTTTTCTTTTGTTTTGCTCTAATGACTGTTGATTCTATATTGTTTAGGTGTTCTAGAATAGAAGTCATGTAAGTATGCATTTTATGTGTCTTTTGATCTTGTGCTGATGCCATTGTTGCTAAATTCTAGTTTTTTTGTTTGTTTGTTAAAACTAGTTAGTTATTCAACTTGCTGAGGAAATAAATTGCTGTTTCATGTTCAGGTCTCCATGATCAGAGATATGATGTTGCTTTGTTGTTGTAAGGGAATATTTTGATTTGACATAGGAGATTTGGGTGATATGCAAATACATAAAAGTTGGGTGATATGCAATGTTCTTTATATGTAAATGTGTATGTTTTTGAGAGATTTTTAAGTCATTTGTGGAGTGTGTAATTGATGTTAATTTTGTAATTACATTAATTGTGAGTTTGGCAGAGGTGGAACACTGGCGCAAGTATGTTCTAAATAAACTTTTTTCTTAGTTGGTGGATTTTTGCAAATAGGAAATTACATGAATTATATGAGTTTGGGCGAGGTGATTGACAGGGTGGCTCCATGTGATTTTGTATTTTAATACATAATGTTTCATAATGTTGACAAAGAAGAGTGATGGATGATGGCAAGGGTTCTCACATGCGTTTGAAATTAAAAAAGAGAGGAATATTAAATTTACTAGGTGAAAATTTGTTGTTGTATATATAATAAGCCAACGAACCTTTGCATGAAATTGGTGGCTCAAAATTTTTTAATGGCATATGTGTGTGTGATATATATATATATTTGTGACTTTGGTTGGTAGAAATTGTAAAACCATCGAGGTCACGGGTTCAATCCCGTTTGTGTGTGCCGTTTGTGTGTGAAATGGAATTCTTAGACACATGAGATTGATCATGAGGCTAGTCTAATATCCTCGGGCCAATTTTTATAATATATATTAGCTTAACTGATATATTAATGTAGTTGATTATGGTGAAAAGTAAATAAGAATTCATTTGGTCTAAATTTGATTGATAAGTCATTAATAAATTTTGATGTTTGACACGAATTTTGAGGTAATTAGCACAAATTTAAGTTTAAATATTTATATGCAATAAATATTTAAACTTAAATTAAGAATTATTCAAAACTCTCATTTAAGTAAGCTTATAGTCAAACTAATATGTTCAATGAGATGAGCCTAATGCAACCAAATTTGACTCAATCTGAATTAAACTAAGCCCGAATCAAGCCATTAAACTACTTTTGAAAGCTGTGTGGTTAATTAGAAGATCAAATGGATTCCAAATTGACAAGCTTATAGTTAAATCGAGCGTCTCGGTAAGATGAATCTAATGACCTCAAGATTATTGAATTTTGACATCATTAAAATCTTCATTGAACTATTTCATTTACAGAGAACTCCAGTCCTAGACTCCATAAACAAAGCCCTACCCCCTTCATGAGGGGGAACAACAAGCTAGAGCTGGAATGGGAGGAGTCAAAATTCAGGTTTGTTTTGGATCGAAGACCTGATGAATATTTCCTGCTCCTAGAGCCTTTGATCATCATTGATCACCGTTCATCTACCGTTGTCGACTACTTTCAGTTGCGCCTTGCTCGCTAATGTCGATGAGTCCTACAATGCAACAACATTCCTCGAAGACGATGCAACGATGTACCTAAAGAAGGTGTAATGATGCATTCAGAAGACGATGTAATGATACACCCTAAAAATGGTGTAACGACATGCCACAAATATGATGTAATAATGCACTTCAAAGATGGTGTAATGATACAATCAAAGAAGTTATAACGATGCATGACACACAACCAAGTATCGCGAAGCACGGGCGGCTCGCGTAAGTATACGTGACGTATTAATAGTACTGGAGTTTGAGTATGGTTGTCAATCCTACAGAGAAAGAGATGAATTCAAAGGAAAACTTCTAGCTTACAATTTTCAGCCTAAACCTGAAGAGTTTAATTTGCAAGTTCAATTTTAAATCTAATCAAAAGCTATGAAAAAAAACTAGTATGTCCTAACAAGCAAAAATATTCTTTTATAAATCAGAAGTTGAGAATTCCCCTCTTTAACTGATGAAGTGATGGATATGTCTAAGGATTATATTAAAAAATTAGTGTCAATCAGAAGAAAAATTCTTCTTTATCTTATTTTGGTGGTCTAAGGAAGAATAAAAGTCTTAAGTTTAGTTTCCTAATATTCTTGAACTACACATAAGAAAATGTCTTCTAGAAGATTGCATGAATCAAATGACAATATCTCTATTCCAATAAATTCTTGTTGTTAACTCCTTTGTTCCATAAAAAATCCTTCAGGATATCAATATTCACAAAATATTTTAACAATCATCTCGCCAAGGAGAAAGTAAATTAAGTTTTCAAATTAGCAAAACACATTTAAACTCAAATTAAAGCCCAAACAATCTCAAATCCCTTGGCATATCCAATCACCATCTCAATTAAAGCAAGAAGTAAGAAGACTACTTACCATTCATTACAAATATCATCAAAGCAAACTTAATTTTATGCATAAACTTCAAAACCAAAGTCCTTACACATAAAATCTAAAGAAAATACAATATAAACAAACTTATCTCCTTCACAAGTAATTTGAGGATGTGACTAACAACAAGCAATCCAAGTTATCAATCCTCCCAATCTCTCTCTCTTTATCTCTTCTAATCTCTTGCAAGTTGTGTGGTCTTCTCCTCCCAAATTCTCCCTCTAGAGTTGTCAGAAGAAAAATGATGAAAAAAGATCTCTTTAATTCGTGATCAAGCATTTTATTCATTTCTCCCCATACTAAATTTTTTAACTGTCATAACAGTCAATTTTTTTGTATCGATGTCGGGGCGCTACAAATCATTCTTCTACAGCACCTAGTCGCTAGTGTCGTGACGCCTAGGCACTGCACTTTTGGCGCCCCAGCGTCACAAATCCAATGATGGGTTTCCAAGCTCTAGGGAAATCTTCCTCAATTTGGGGCCTAGGCGCTGCAAGGCAGCACTCTAGGTCCAGTGCCCTGACGCTACAACTCTAACATTGGGTCTCCAAGCTCTCTGTTTGTGCACTCTAGGGGACCGGTTCTAATGCCTAGACACCGGGTTCTAGCGCCTAGGCTTTAGAACACCACTCAACTCCTTTTTCCTCATTTTGATTCCTGATTTGCTTGTTACACATGTTATCTGCATTTTATCCAAAATACCTTCCAAAAACATAATAAAAACATATAAAAAGTCATAGCAAAGACGATAAACAAGCATATTATACAAAAAAGTCAAAATCCCCCAAACTTATTAGTTATTCTCCAAGTAACTACAAAACTTAAACCTTTGATCTTATTGAACATAAGAGGAATGTGTTTTCATAAGTTACCACATTCAATCGAACTTTCAAAAATACATAATTAGTGAACATAAATCTTCTATTGAATTATTTTGATAAATGTGTTTAAGAAAATTTTAAACTTCTTCAAATGTTATTGAATCTCATATTCACTTTAAGGGACTGAATAATTTCTAAGCTAATACATTCTAATTTTAAACAAATATACTCAAAACCTCTTTTCTTCGTATGTATAAAAACACACTGAAATAGCCATGCTCCACCCCCAAGATAACGAAAAAATATTACGTTTGTACTACGCATATAGAGCTACGTGCGTAGCCAATAAAATCACGGCACCCGAAAAAAAAAACTGTGTGGTAACACTGGGGAATATTCCCCCCGTGTTATTCATGTGTTATTCATTTGTAAACACAATAACACATGAATAACATACAATAACGCCTGAATAACACTGAGAGGGAGGGAATATTCCTCTGTGTTACCGGTGAAATCAAGGCAAGAAAAACAAAAAATTTGTCCGGTAACACGAGGGAATATTCCCCCCGTGTTATTCAGGTGTTATTGTATCTTATTCATGTGTTTTTCCCCCGTGTTATCGATGTTATTCAGGTGTTATTGTATGTTATTCATGTGTTTTTCCCCCGTGTTATCGGTGAAATCAAGGCAAGAAAAACAAAAAATTCGCCCTGTAATACGGGGGAATATTCCCCCTAGTGTTATTCAGGTGTTATTATATATTATTCATGTGTTATTCATATGTTATTGTATTATTATAACATCAGGAATATTCTCAGAACACAATAACACATGAATAACATACAATAACACGTGAATAATATGGGGGGAATATTCTCTTATATTACCGAGCCGTTTTTTTATCTCGTGTGGCGTGATTTTATTGGCTACGCTCTCCGTGTGTGGTAATGATGTAATATTTTTACCTGACGAACATGTGCGAGTATATGAGCAATGCAGGCCTTGGACCTCCATTGGAAAACGTTGATGGTGTTTTCTCTAGTACTGGCTGGTATGCTACTAACCAAATTGCCGTTGATGTCATCTTTAACAATCGGATGAAGCAATAAGAGTTATTGACGAATGATTCCTTCCTGGCTGCTGCTGTGTTTGTACCCTTTTATGCTGGTTTTGACATAGCCAGATACCTATGGATCTCTATGAGAGATGCTGCTTCTCTTGATTCTGTGGATTGGCTTATGAAGCAGCCTGAGTGGAAGGTTATGGATGGGAAGGACCATTTCTTGGTTGCAGGAACGATCACATGGGATTTCCGGAGGCTGATTGGTACCAATTCTGATTGGGGTAACAAGTTTCGTTTCTTACCCGCAGCAAAGAACATGTTAACGCTTGTGGTGGAATCAAGCCCATGGAATGCCAATGATTTTGGGATACCTTACCCTACTTGTTTCCACCCTGAAAAGATTCAGATGTGTTTGTGTGGCAGGAAAGGATGAGGAAGCTGGAGAGAAACTGGCTCTTCTCCTTCGCCGGAGCACCCCGTCCCAGTAACCATAAATCGATCAGGGGGAGAATAATTTTTAATCAGTGCAAGATCTCACCTTTTTCTAAACTGCTGGAATGAGATTTTGGCGAGAGCAAATGTCACTCTCCTAGCTGCATTATGAAGATGTTTCAATCATCCTTATTTTGTTTGCAACCTCAGGGGGATTATTATACGAAGAGGTCCGCCTTTGACTCGGTTCTGGAGGGTTTTATACCTGTCTTCTTCCATCCCGACTCGGCATACACGCAATATACTTGGCATCTACCCGGAGACCATACTAAATATTCAATTTTTATTCTGGAGGATGATATCCGTAAGAGAAATGTTAGCATTGAAGAAAGACTTGAACAAATTTCTTCAGAGTCTATCAAGGTTATGAGAGAGGATGTTGTAAGTCTGATTCCAAGGATTATATATGCTGATCCTAGGACAAA